ATATATGGTTTATTATTATTATCATTATTATTATTCATTCATTCATGTAGACTTCTCTAATAATTATGACAACTACTCAGACAACGAGTGCATCATGTAACTACCAACACAAAAGATTCCTACGATGAAAATTCTTACGAATCTATTTATCAAAATGTGTTAGGTAATTATCTAAGTTACCATAATAAGCATTGTATATATTTACATGTTAAGTGTTAAAACAAACCTGAATAATGCAAATTCAGAGAGCCTTGATGAAGAAGCTTTCAAGCGACCACCACAAAGGACTTTAAGATCAGAAATTTCTAGTAATAACCCTATTTCTAACTTGGAGTTTCAGGAAGATTTCTTTGCAAATGAGAAAGATGAAACGTTAGAACAAGATCACTTTTTTGAGAATGGAGTCGTGTGTGATGATTTTAATGATGGTATTAATATATTTAGCCGATTTCTACAATTACAATTATTTCATTTTATAAACTGTTCTTTCTTGTTTCAGACTTTATGGTGGACCAACCCTTACCAATGTCAAATTCTCAGCAAACTATCACTAAAGATTCTGATATTATTCAGGATGAAGATGATGACTATCCAATAGAGCCTCTCAATTTTGTAGAAGATCACTTTTCTGTTCCGAGTGCTAGTGAGCTTGAGGACGTTACGCAAGAGTGTGTATAGAGTAATCAAATAATAAGACTAGTCTGCCATTAACTCATCTAACTTAAACACTACTTTACAGTTTACCAAATAGTTTGACAAGAATCCGCCTTCGTGATTTTAACATATTATGGAAACTGTACGATGGCTATGACTGGAAACACACTAGAGATCAAGCGTCTGAGGCATTAACAAGTGTCAAAAATTCAACTACTACTAATATAGCAGGACCTTCTACAGGCGAAATTCAAGGTCTAATGAACACTGAATTATCTAGTCCATTTGATCGTATGTTGTTTGTGGATTCGCCATTTAAAAATCCTGATCATGATGGATCGTCACAACTAGCATCTGAATTTGAGTATATGGTAGATGGCCACAGCGATACTTCTAGTCAAGTCAGCTCGCGAGTTGATTCCGATAATTCCAGCGTTCGAGATGGTAAACGACCTGAACAAAAGAATCGTTCCTCTAGACCAAAGCTTAGCCGTTCAAGAAAAAGTAAACTTGACATTAAGTTTGATAAGATCAATTTGGAATTTGATTTATTTCCAAAAGACAATTTGCTGGCGTCTCGACTACTGTTGCTTATTAGAGATCTAGAAATTCTCGACAATATCAAAACATCTGCATGGCATAAATTCTTGTCTCACTTACGTCCAGATAATGATACAAATCCTCGCGAAAATAAATCTAATATGGTTAAGATAGAGTTAACGAGCGTTCGTCCTGTTCTAACAGATCCTGTTGAAGAGCTTCGTTTAAAGGTTATTACATAATTTTCAGATATTCCATTCATTTGCACGATTCGATTTCTCTTAACAATTGTTTACATTTATAGGCCAAACTTTTACCATTAAGATTTTACATCGACCAGGATGCATTAAATTTTGTGATTAAGTTTTTCTCATACCGGGGTCCTACCAGCGATGCTTCTCAGCAACATGCTGAAGACGAAACATATTTCCGTAAGTTATATTTAACAATTTTATTGCATTATATAATATTTGCAATATTTGTTAATTATTTTATCATACACTTTAAAGAACTCTTCGACATTCAACCAATTGTAATGAAGTTGGACTACAAACCAAAACATATTGATTATTCTAGCTTAAAAGAAGGCAATTTGGTTGAATTAATGAATATTTTCCATCTTGAAGCTGCGGAAATGACATTGAGAGGCCTTAAATTAACAGGAGTAAATATTTCTCGATTTTGTCATCCACTTTTTATGTCTTTCTAGCAGTATAATTTTATACTTGTATATTTGATAGGTTAAAGGTGTATCACGTTTATTAGAAGACTTGGGTGCAGCATGGCTGCCGCACATAACTAATACGCAAGTTCCTAATGTTGTATCGGGTGTTGCTCCAATACGGTCTTTGGTAAACATAGGTTCAGGAGTTGCAGATCTTATCTTGCTACCTATTGAACAATACAAAAAAGATGGAAGGATTATTAAAGGTTTGTCATTATATTATTAGCAGCGTGACGTGAATGGACAATCCCGAGAATTGGTTATATATTCTATTTAATTATGTACAGGTCTTCAGAAAGGGACGCAATCTTTTGCAAAGGCAACCACCATGGAAGCAATTAAATACGGTACCAAACTTGCCGTTGGAACACAGATATTACTCGAGCAGGCGGAAGAAATACTTTCCTTTGAGTCCCAAACAGATACTAGCTCGAATACGGATAATAATGAAGAGTTTGATAGCGACGAAGATAAAAAATCTAGCAAATCTAGCAGCAAATATGCTAATCAACCCGCAGACATAAGTGAAGGTAAATTTTCAAGTTTAAAAAAATTTTTTCAAGGTGTTTAATGTTTTTTTTTTGTTCTTCAAATAGGAATGGTGGCTGCTTATCAAAGTTTGAAACAGAATATCGGGACTGCAGCGCACACAATTTTTGCCGTGCCGATGGAAGTATATGAAAAGACTGGAACTCAAGGAACAGTAAAGGCTGTGATTCGTGCTGTTCCAGTTGCTGTATTAAAACCAATGATTGGAGTCGCCGAGGCAGCATCCAAAGGTTTACTTGGTGTAAGAAACTCAATAGACCCAAACAATAAAATGCAGAGTGAAGATGTAAGTTATTTGGTTTTTTTTTTTTTTTGCTTTTCATTTTTTTTCTGGTTTGACTAAGTTTATTATTATTTTAATTCAGAAAT